TTTGCTTGTCCTTAAAGATAGGGTTCAGTATGATGATGCCAGGGATGTGACCATTGGTGATGATGGGGTATTGAGGATGCAGGGCCGGATCTGCATGCCTAATGTGGATGGGCTTTGGGAGTCGATTCTGGATGAGGCCCACAACTCGCGGTATTCCATTCATCCGGGTGCCGCGAAGATGTATCAGGATTTGAGGCAGCACTATTGGTGGAGAAGAATGAAGAAAGATATTGTGGAATTTGTAGCTAAGTGTCTCAATTGTCAACAGGTGGAATTTGTAGCTAAGTGTCTCAATGAAGAAAGATGGATATTCCTGATTGGAAGTGGGAGAGGATCACTATGGACTTTGTTGTTGGACTTCCACGGACTTTGAAGAAGTTCGATGCTATTTGGGTGATTGTGGATCGGCTGACCAAGTCCGTGCACTTCATTCCTATGTGTACTACATATTCTTCAGAGTAGTTGGCAGGGATCTATATTCGAGAGATTGTTCATTTGCATGGTGTCCCAGTATCCATCATTTCAGATTGAAGTACTCAATTTACTTCGTAGTTTTAGAGGGTCGTGCAGAGAGAGTTGGGTACTCAGGTAGAGTTGAGCACAACTTTTCATCCTCAAACGGACGGGCAATCCAAGCATACTATTTAGATATTGGAGGACATGTTGCATGCTTATGTCATTGATTTCAGAGGATCATGGGATGAGTTTCTACCACTTGCAGAGTTTGCTTATAACAACAGCTACCAGTCGAGTATTTAGATGGCTCCATATGAGGCATTGTATGGGAGGCGGTGTAGATCTCCAGTTGGTTGGTTCGAGCTCGGTGAGGGTAGGCTATTGGGGACTAATTTGGTACAGGATGCTTTGGAGAAGGTGAAGGAGATTCAGGAGAGGCTTCGTACAGTGCAGTCGAGGAAAAAGAGTTATGCTGATAGGAAGGTTCGAGATGTGTCCCACATGGTTGACGAGAAGGTTCTGTTGAAGGTTTCACCCATGAAGGGTGTTATGAGATTTGTGAAGAAAGGGAAATTGAGTCCTCGGTTTATTGGGTCTTTTGAGGTGCTTCGGAGGATTGGGGAGGTGGCTTATGAGCTTGCTTTGCCACCCAGCTTGTCGAGTGTGCATCCGGTATTTCATGTTTCTATGCTTCAGAAGTATATTGGGGATCCGTCTCATGTTTTGGACTTCAGCACGGTTCAGTTAGATGATTATTTGACCTTTGATGTAGAGCCAGTAGCTATTTTGGGTCGTCAAGTTCGGAAGTTGATGTTAAAGGATATAGCTTCAGTGAAAGTGCAGCGGAGAGGTCGGCCCATAGAGGAGGCTACCTAGGAAACCGAGCGGGAGGTGCGGAGCAGATATCCTCACCTATTCGAGGCTTCAGGTATGTTTCTTGACTCGTTTGAGGATGAACATTTTTTTTAAGTTGGGGAGGATGTGACGACCCGGCCAGTTGTCTCATGAGTTACCACTCCGTTTCCCCCATTTAAGCTTCTTTATGCTTCGTTATCCGTGTTTTTGTGGTATCGGGTTGGTCGGATCGAGTTCAGAATGAGTTTGATGAAGTTTGAGACACTTAGTCTCTTTTAAGAAGGCTTAAGTTGGAAAAGTCAACCGGATGTTGACTTATGTGTTAGAAGGCTCGGAAGTGAGTTCTGATGGTTCGGTTAGCTTCGGGAGGTGATTTGTGACTTAGGAGCGCGATCGGAATGGGTTTTGGAGTTGTAGAGAAGATTTAGGCTTAAATTGGTGAAGTTGATATTTTGGCGATTTCCGGTTGATAGGTGAAATTTTGATATAGGGGTCGGAATGGAATTCCGAGAGTTGAAGTAGCTTCGTTGTGTCATTTGGGATGTGTGTACAAATTTTCAGGTCATTTGGACAAGATTTGATAGACTTTTTGATCGAAAGCATAATTTAAGAGTTCTTGGAGTTCTTAGGCTTGAATCTTATGTTAAATTGGTGATTTAATGTTATTGTGAGCGTTCCGAAGTGTTGAACAAGTTTGAACGATGTCATGGGTCATTTTTGTGTGGTCCGCAGAGGTGAAAATCTGTGGGGTACTCTATAAATACGAGGTTTTGGGTTTTATTTAATATTTTGACCTAGAGAGCTCGGATTTTGGCGATTGTTCGAAGGTTTTTCAAGAAATTTATTAGGGTAAGTGATTCTAACTCAGATTTGGCTAGAATACATGAATCTATCATTAAATTCATCATTTAATTAGTGATTTGGGATGGAATTTGGGAAGAAAAGTTGTGAGATCTTCCAAAAATATAAAATGATAATTTGAAGGACCAAATGGTACCGGAATTGGACAATTTTGGTATGGTTAGACTCATGAGGGTATGAGGATTCTGAAGATGTAAATTTTACCCGATTCCGAGATGTGGGCCTGGGGCTCAGGTTTTGGTAATTTCGGGATTCGTGCCCTTTGTTGATTGTTTTCGCTTGGGCTTTGTTCCCTTAGTTTATTGTGACGTATTCGTTTTGATTTTGGATAGATTCGACGCGCGTGGAGGCCGATTTGAGGGGCAAAGGCATCGCGAGCTAGAGATTTAGCCGGTTCGAGGTGAGTAATGATTATAAATGATGCTCTGAGGGTTTGAAACCCCGAATTGCACATCGTAGTGCTATATTGAGGTGAGACACACGCTTGATGGCGAGCGTGGGGTCGTGCACTATTGGGGATTGTGGCTTGGTTCGTCCTGATTAATGATTTTACCGTGTATTTGACTGAGACTTATTTGCTATCATCATGATTTGGGCTGATTGCCATTTTTGGGCTTCGTGCCAACTATTTAAACCCTTCGGGGATGTTTATTACTATTTCCTCACTGTTTTGACTTATTACTTGAACTCAATCATGTTATTTTCCACTGTTTTACTAATCAGCCATTTCTACTCAGTTTTGAGACTTAAATGATATTTTAAATGATGTTTTGGGCTGAGAAATACTGTTTTACTATTGCCCGGGGGGCTTGTGATAATTTTTGGACTAAGGCCGAGGGCGTAGTTGTGAGGATACATTGATACTGATATAAGGCCGAGGGCTTGAGATACATAAATATGCCACGAGGTGGCTTGATTGATATGAGGTCGGGAGCTTAGATTTGATACCACGAGATGGCTTGATATTGCACTTGGGCCGTAAGGGGCCCCTCTCGGAGTCTGCACACCCCCAGTGAGTGCGGGTACCCATTGTGATGTGAGATTGAGCTCGAGGGGCGGCAATTGTTGATACTGTGCCCGAGGGGCGAACTTCTATGTGTTTACTTTATCATAACTGTCTGTCAATTACCTGTTTACTTGTTGTAGAAGTACTTTATTTTGCTTTTCATTGGTTTACTGCTTACAAATTACCGATTTAATTGCTTCATTATATAATACCCTGTGTATACAATCATTATTTATCTTTATTACTCACTGGGTCGGAGTACTCACATTACTCCCTGCACCTTGCGTGCAAATCCAGGTGCCCTAGAGGCCGAGTGATAGCTTTTCAGTCGTTCAGCAATTGTCGGGGATTTCGAGGTAGATGCATGGCGTCCGCAACCTTGATTTCTCCCTTATATCTTATTACTTTTCCGCATTCCTAGACTATCTATGTAGTAGGTTGTCCAGACTTGTACTAGAGGCTCTAGACTTGTGACACCAGATTAGTGTGGGCTGTGTAATTTCTATGTATTGTTGACTTCCACGTGTCTATCTTGCTGTTTTAAACACTTATTATGATAATTGGTAATTAAACCGTGTTAGCAAATGATTTATTTAAAATGAAAATGGGTTGTGGTTTATAATTGGTCTGGCTTGCCTAGTAATGTGATTGGCGCCATCACAACCGGTATTTGGGGTCGTGACAAGTTGGTATCAGCAAAACCCCTCAAAATTGAGATATAAACTCCAAACCATATTCTCAATTATTTTCAATAACACCCAATCCAAACAAATAATGATTTTTGAAAACACAAATTTGAATCCAAAGCTTCAAAGCTTTTTAATGACTGTCAATGGTGGAATTGCTTCTCTCTTTTTCTTTGCTTTGTATTACTGAAATTTGGACATAATTGATTTTGATGCAGAAAAATTGTAGAAGATTTAGTCGTTTTTGATTTTTGAATTGTAGAAGAATAATCAATTCGTTTTTGAATTGTAGAAGAATAATTGCTTTTGATGTAGAGACGCTAAATTTGAAATGAATCAGACGAAGAAGATTAATGTGCGTGATTTGCGTTTGGAAGATCTGGAAGAATATTTAGTCCCCCAATTTTAGCGCGCCTAAATAAGGAAGCCTACAGCTACAATGACTCTTTATATAATGCATGGTCTATATTTTGTAGAAATATTATTAGCATGAAGGGTAATATGCAAACTATGAACATATTTGGTCATATAGTTTCCTATATGGTATAGGAACGAAAATTTCCCTTAAATAAATAAGTCTTGATCTATTGGGCTAGGCTGCTTAATTGAGCTAAAGTGATGAGCCCACTTCATTAAGCCCAGATGTCATCTTCCTAGAGGCCCTGTTTGGTGCCACGTGTCATATGACGTGGCACGCCAAGTCAAGCGGAAGATCCAATAGGATCATGCCACGTGTCAAAATGACAAGGCATGCCAAGTCATATTAAAAGGCTAATGAAATCGCGCCACGTGTGCAAGTGACATGTTCTGGCCAATTAAATGCAGCCATGTCACACTTCAATTTGATTGGTCGGAAAGAGTTTGTTCTTATCACAACTCCCCCCTTCCACAACTATAAATATGGGTCTTCATAACTCAGAAAAGAGACCAGAAGTTATAACAAGAAGCAAGAAAGAGCTCATGGATCAAACGCTGCAAATTCCTCCATAAGTTTCAAGCTTCAAGCAATCAAGTTCAAGCTCAAGAACGAAGGCCAAATCGAGTTCAAGTCCAAGCAATCAAGCTCAAGCTCAAGAACAAGATCATCGTTCGAGGCAACAACTACATATTCAAGATCAAGCTCAAAGGCCCTTGAATTTATACTGGAAAAGTAAAATCAGAGGATTCATAAAGATTGTATACTTATATTATTTGAAATCAAATACTACAATTGTTGCGATATTTTTCGGTCTCAATTATTTTCTCGACGCAATTTATTGTCTACAATGGTGCCAAGCTTCACATTTTGATCATGGATTTTTTAAAATCATTAAAAAACCAGATGGATCATCCACATAAGTTTGCACCATTTCTCTAGTATTGTCATCCCCAGTTGCTAAGACCTGGTCTAAAACAAGCAACCCTTTTCCAGAGATAAGGTTAACATGGTACTGACAGTCGAATGTTGATGGTGTCATGTCATCAAGATTTGCTAGTGTTGCGTTAGTATCAGGGACTGAGCACAGTTGCTGCTGTGACTGCAAGAAATCCAAGTTCACGTCTGAATTGCTACCCCCGTTTAGCCTGAACTAAATGTTGAATATTGTATGTGCACCTTCAATATAATAAATATTAATTAAGACTCTGTTTGGAAAGCCACCCAGTAATTGGAATTGGTATAATTGTTAGGGTATTAATTACACAGCCTAGTAATTACACAATATAGTAATTACGATGACCTGTTTATTTGTCATAATGTAATTACAAGCGTACTATTTGGTTGCACAAGTATCATTACAAAGTTAAATTAAATTTTAAGTGAAGTAACTATAATTACCAAAATTTAAAGTTAATATAATAAATATATGCCTCTAAATGATTTTTTATAGGCTCATTCAACAACGAAATTCTACTTTAATGACATCACTCATTAAAATGACTCATTATTTTTAATATTAGGAGGTTTAGTTTCAAAAACTACAATAATAATGCAGTTACGCTAAATGAAGAAAATAAAACGAATAAGAAATAAAATGTACGAGCAATTACATGGATTCTCAAGAAGTAAAGGTAGAGAAATAAAAGATAAATAGTGTACAAGGAAAAATATATTTTAAAATTAAAAAAGAATAAAAATTAAAAATAAAATAAAAAGAATTAAAATAATGGAAATAAAAATTTATAAAGAAAATAAATTGAAATAAAAACAAAAAGGAAAGAAAGTAACCTTGTAATTACACAGTGTAATTACCACCAATTCTCACCTCCCCTTTGAGTATTGGAGAATGTAATACACCTCTTCAATTACACTCAATTTCATGCTGACCAAGTAATTACTTGGCCAGACAAACATGCCAAACTGTGTAATCATATCAAATTACACCCAAATCCAATTCCCAAGTGGCTTTCCAAACAGACTCTTATTTTTTGACGGCGATAAATTAAATCAATATTGTAACAACCCACCCGATCATTTTGAGCATTTGCATTTCATTCAGCTATTTGAAGTCTTGAGCAGCATCGTATGATGTATTATGACTTGTGTGAATCATCGATTTTGGTTTTTAGGATATTCGGAATTAATTTGGAATAGTTGACCACGTTTAACTTTTTAGTATTTGACCTCGGATTGGAGTTTTAATGGTTTTGTTAGGTCCGGATGGTGGATTTGCATTGGGATATTTCTAGAAGGTTTTAGCGCTAATTGGGCGAAAGTTGGAAATTTGAAGGTTTGGAAAGTTCATAAGTGTGACCGGGAGTTGACTTTGATGATATCGAGTTCGAATTGTGGTTCCAATATTTTGAATAGCTTCATTATGTCATTTGGCGCTTGTGTGCAAAATTTGAGCTCATTCCGGGCTGATTTGATATATTTCGGTACGAGTTTTGGAAGTTGAAAGATTTAAAGTTCATTAAGTTCGATTTGAGGTGTGATTCATCATTTCGATGTTGTTATGCGTAATTTGAGGCCTTGAGTAGGTCTGTGTTACATTATGGGACTTGTTGGAATGTTCGGATGGGGTCACAAGGGGTTCGGGTGAGTTGAGGACGTGTTTCAGACTATTTTTTCTTCATATGTGGCTGCTGGTTTCTGATATCTCATGCCTTATTCGCGATTGCGAAGGCTGGGACGCGATTAGAGGAGCTTGTATTTTTCCTTCATCGTGTTCGCGACAATGGTACCGCGTTCACGTACCTTTGGAGGCTCAAGCATCGCGTTCACGTACCTTTAGAGGCTGCTGAGTTTTTATTTTTCGCAATCACAAAGAATGTCCCTCGATCGCATAGGGTATTTCTTCCCGGTGAATATAAAGTACTCTATTTCGAAGGTTTCAACCATTTTATCATATTTAAATCTATGGAGCTCATATTGAGACGATTTTTAAAGTAATTTCACCAAATGTATTAGGGTAAGTGTTCTGTAATCGATTTTGATTTTATTTCATGAATCTATCTTCGGCTTTGGCATTTGATTGAGGATTTCAAGAGAGAAATT